TTTTTGGTTTCACTCGAGGAATTTTCATCAACATGATTGATACCGATTTCGTTTTGAAACTCTGACCTTGCTTCTATATCACGATCTATGACACACATTGCAGACCTAGGGTTATCGTTTTTCCCTCCATGGTGCGGCAACTGCTGTACTCTTGCAGATGTTGAGGTTTCCATTCGCGGAATTGGTTCTGGAAAATTATTACGCATGTTTCCTGTAGACGTTGAAGCATTGTAACTGTTGTTGAAAGTTCTAGGATTCGAATTTTGATGATAATTTTGATGCTGATCTACGTGCAAAGCGGTATTATGTTTGAACCCACACTTTTTGCAACCACTTGACATGCAGTCTGGTTTCGAGTGTCCTGGTCTGAGACAATTACTACATAGTTTCTGCTTTCTAATTTCGTTATATTTTTCCGATAGTGATAAATTAGTGAATTTCGGACAATGGTAAATGAAATGATGCTCATTACAAATGTAACAGGTCATTTTATCATTGTGATATGTCACTGAATGCGTCACCTTTTTCATATACGAGTCTTGAGTTGAATCCTTATCATAAGATTTCGATGATTGATAGTCACGAGAGTATCCTCTACTACCTACTTTCGAATCATGATTGATGGCTTCTAATGAAAAGCATTTTTTAGTTAAGAAGTCCGTAAACTGGTTCAACGTCGGTAAGTTCTGATCAATTTGTTTATTCTCCCATTCTCTCTTAGTGTGATAATCTAATTTTTGTAAAATAATTGGAATTAACAACGTGTCCCAATGATCGACTGGTAAATTCAGTTTCTTCAAAGCTGATTTATGCTGATGAATTGAATCTAATAAATGTCTTAGCTGACCAGGTGATTCTTTGGCCACGCTGGGTAAATTGAATAAAATGTGATTGACGTGATGATTGATAATAGCTCGTTTATTTTCATATCGTTTCTGAAGTAATTCTAATGCGATAGTATAATTATCTGCTGTGACATCCAGAGAATCAACTAACCTCGATGCATCTTCTTTGCAACATAATTTAAGGTATAAAAATTTATCGATTTCGCTTAAATCATTCCGATCATGTACTACCGATTGAAAAATATCCTTAAAGCTGTACCAAGTTTCATATTTACCATTGAAGCTAGGTAATCCTAATTCAGGAAGTTTTGCAGCTGCGCTCAGTTTAGATGGAATCAAGTTTTCAATATTTTGAACTGAAACATCTTTATTTTCGGTTATTTTCTCCTGATCTGAAATCAATCTTTTCGCGTTCGAAATAACTGAATAGAATCTAGATTCTGTATCTAAACGGTTTTCCTTTTCTGCAGGAACTAAATATTCTAGCCTCGTTTGTATTTTATCAAAATCTGCAAAATCATCCTGTACACTTTTCAATCTGACTTCAACTTGAAAAATGTCACTAATGTCACCGTCTAAAAATTTGACAAATCGAGATAATCTGTCACCTATGACTTCGCGCGCATAAATATTTTCCGAGATCTCATCTTCGTGGGGTTCATTCTTTTTCGAAGCTACTTTCGGGGGCATTTTTGGACAATGATGAGATAAGTTTCTTTATATATTGAATATAGATACCGTGAACGTGTCGAGGTTTTGCAAATTCAACGAAGCAACGATCAAATAGAGTATTTTAGGCTACGATTTGTAAATCATTCGATTTTTACGAGACGAGTTTACGTTTATGTTGCTACTATTAGCTAGCTATACGATTAACGAGTAACGAGAAGAGGTATGTATACGTAACAATCAGACGAGTTAAGCTTTCAGCTACCTTTACGATTTTTTGCAAAAACTAATGAACTACAAGCATGTTCGAATCACAAGGATTTCGGTAAGGATAGGAAAATAAGGAAGCGACATGAAACGAACTCACAGTAAGTTGTTGACTGCTAACTATTATCGCACAGGCTGGATTCTGGCTGCTACTGCTGATCCATTTTTCTCTGCAATCCGGCTCGAAGGACCAATGTTATTTCGTTCGAGGATTCGTTCGATGGTTCACTATAGTCGAAGGACCACCCCTTGCGGGGAAAACACAAGTATTTACGATATTATTCAAACTATTTTATTTCTTTGAAATTCAAATATGTCATTTCAGATTCGATATTTTATTACAATCTTGTTGTCCCGTTGCTCTGACAATTTCTTCAGCTTTTTTCATCGCCTTCCAGTCAGGTTCAGCTCATACCAAAAATGTGATAACATTAGAAGTCTAAACAGGTTGTGTAGTACATTTTACATTTTCGGAATTAGAAAGAGAAGCTGATGTATTGAGAAAGGTATGCAGAAATGTGAAAATTCAAAAAGGGGGGCCTTGAAGAAAAAAAAAGTTTACTGTCGTGTGTTTCCTTCTTCGTGTGTTAAAAAATGTAATATCATTTTCGAATTCTTTGCAGAAATATTTCAGATAATATTCCATTTCCACTCATGAAGCATCAAGATTGTCAAGTCACCAATTACAATCAAGATATCAAATAGATATTATAGAGTTCTGTCGTGGCTGTCGTTGAATAAAACACGAGATTAAATATAATAGGAGGAAGATATGATATTATAGTTCATTCTTGACTTTTTCGAGAAACCAGCATGTCCAAATAGCAACAACCAGCAACAATGTGCTGAATGCTGAGGAATGACAAGACTCCGCCCACAATTCGTGCGCCGGGTTGTCACGTTATGTCCTCTAGTGTGAATCAATATTATAACATTATAACAATACATGATCGAGCATTTAGGAATTATGTAACAACTGATATTTCTGAAGTTCCTAATCGTATTTCAATACATGGAAACTCTGCTATGGCCCCTACTTACGATATCGTGGCGTCAGTTTTTACTCGCGGCAAATTGTTAACCGTTTGGAAATTACCGTGGCATTATAGCACCTTGAAATCGAGCGAAATATCCTAAAAAAATATGAAATTGCGAGGTATTTGAGTGATGATTCTATTGAAGAAATAAAAAAAAATGGTCCACACGCGTATTCTATCGACTGTCAAAGTTAGAGAAGTCGAGCCTGAGACCCCCCTTGCATATCTTGAGAATCCTTAAGAGGGCTAACGCCGGTATCCGACTGTGGACAGGGCATAGCGGGGTGAACCAGCTGGGAGGCGTGTTCGTCGGCGGCCGGCCGTTGCCCGACTCCACCCGACAGAAGATCGTCGAGCTGGCGCACAGCGGTGCCAGGCCTTGCGACATCTCCAGGATCCTGCAGGTCTCCAACGGATGCGTATCGAAGATACTCGGCAGGTATTTATTTCAATTATTCCATCTACTCACTGAATCGATCATGCCACATATCACTCGAAATGGGAATCCCATCACTTGAATCACAATGACTGCTATTCCGGACCCTTCTGGTCATTCTATGATTCCCATTATGATGCCAAATAAAATTCACAGTATACGTATTATGCGACTCCTCATTCTACATCAAAATTGATTGATTCGGTTTGTTACATAAATATAAAAGAATGTGAGGCTTCTGTGAGTCTTTTGGTTGTTAGAGAGCCTCACAAATTCACTTCCATTTTGAGTAGCAAATTCAATAAAATGTGAGGAATATTGCGAATGTTTTATAAAATAAAGAGTCTCCTGGCAATACCAATGATGTTTTCTTGTAATTTGCATTGTTACCTAGCGAGACATGAATGTGACATCCCAGGGATGTTTGTGTTTACTGGAGAATGAAGGCATTTGTTCCCTCAGTTAGGAGTTTTCAATTAACTCCCACGGGGAGGAACAAAATAGTGGCTCCTGTGGGAGATAACATGATTTGGCTTCAGCATGCATCTGTGCAATCCAAGTGATCAAAGTGATCACTGTCTTCATTATTATAATAAAACAATCTTGGTTTCCAATGTTTTCTACACTTCCTGATATCCTGAGAGTACTTAATCAAAACCACTCTAAGAAAGATTGGAACACCAGTAGTCACCAGCTAACACCAAAAGATTTCCTTGAGGTCTGTATATTATGTCAGTGTTAATTTGAAGGGCACCGGTGTTTGGTGCTATCTCTGCACATTTCCATCAGGTGAATCTTGTGATTTCGAAATTGATGTAAATAGTCCATGAGACGGCTGCAATTTCCGACCGTCATCTGTTAACGAAATGATATATGTCACAAAGGCATGTAAAAACATTGTAGTTTATCGAACGGCACCTGTGCCAATCACTATATACTTCCGAGAATATTTCGCCCTCCTCTAAAGATAATATCCGATGGACCAGTGTAAAACTCAACATGTGAGTTAGAATGAATTTCACACAGATCCATCGGATATTATCTTTCGACGAGGGCAAAATATTCACGGAGATATTGACGCTCTGCCACTAACTTAGATCAGTTTGAATCCACTTTGCCAAAGGGCGTTGAGAGGTTGGGGGTGAAAGAAGTAACTTTTGTTTTTCCTTGTTCAATGATCAAGCCAATAGCTTTTCTTAGGAACAAATATCCAAGCTAACATTCCTAAACATGAATATACGATTTGGTCAGATTCGAAGCAGAATCAAAAATGCTACAGGACGAACAATTTGCCTAAAAGAAGAAACAAAATACACTAAGTCGGTCGACCACAAAGTTTTATTACAAAATTGAATTTTTGTGACTAGTTTCGGCTCCAATACAGGGTTTGATTATATTTACTACACCTTGACATTTCTTCCTTTTTTCTTGGATTATTTATATTATTCAACCTCACCACGTACTTCTCCTTCAGGTTTTTAGGCATAATGGACTTTGTAACTAATTCAGTTTTCAGAAATTATTTGTGACAGTACCATAAACTTTGTGGTCGACCGACTCAGTGTATTTTGTTTTTTCTTTGAAAAAAATCTGGACCACTTTGAGAAGGATGGATGGTTTCCATGACTTAATTTGCATTTGCCATTTTGGTAGCTGGTGAGTGTATATCGATGGAATATCTCACGAACGATCATTGCCATTTCAGATATTATGTCTGTAAAGCACGTCGCCTTTCTCCGTTCCCAGGTACTACGAGACCGGATCGATCCGACCGAGGGCGATAGGCGGCTCGAAACCGAGGGTGGCCACCGCCGAAGTGGTGTCCAAGATATCCGGCTACAAGCGCGAGTGCCCCTCGATCTTCGCGTGGGAGATCAGGGACAGGCTGCTGCAGGAGGGAGTCTGCACCAACGACAACATCCCGAGCGTGAGTATAACGTTTATTTGACGTTCATTTCATGTTAATTCTACGTTTGTTTAACGTATGTTGAACGTTTTTGCAACGTTTATTCAACGTTTGTTCGACATTTATTCGACTTTTTTTCAACATTCATGCAACGTTCATCCAATGTTTATTATGACCTATATGTTCGTTATACGCCAAAAATGTAGAGGTCTGTCCTACTGTAATCCAACAGATAATTCACGAAATAGATGGATTATACGTATTAATGCTTCTCAATACGCATATTATATTACCAATCAATCCCTATACAGGGCGAATCAGTTTTTTTAGCAGGACTTCAACAGCCTAAAGATGTTTTTTAAAGATGAAAATCTCATGCAGACATAATATATGCGTATAGGAACCCAAATTTGGATTCACCCACATATTGTTTCTCCCACATTTGGATAGGCCCACAATGACTGGTGAAAGCGACTATAGTTATACCATTTTCCTCTATGGCTCTCTGAATTCCGAAAACATAACAAAAGGGTGGAAAATATACATGTTCTAATTCCGATATGTAATAATTAGACTCTTCTCAACACTGGCGGAAGTTTGGAAACGTCTTACTCTACGTAACTAGTTGCGTATAAAGTAAAATATCACATCACTGGTGATGAAACGTTCATTTCAACACCAGTTATTGAATAAGAATATGGATGGACGACTTGAATCAGCCATTTTCCACGAATAAAAATATCACTGATATGTGACGGATACTTCAAAGTGACGGGTTAATATATCTATTCTGCATAAGGAAGGAGACTATTTTTTCTAAACAATCTAACCCAGCTCGGCCTTCTTCCTAGAAAGTATATTTTTCAACATTGATCAGATTTGGCAGCAAGGCAGCGATATTTGGAGGTTACTTACGCGAAAAAGGTTCATATCGATAGGGCTAGTAATTTTTGAAAAAACAAGGGATTTATTGAATGGTGCAATAGTAAAAAAGTGAAAACACCAAATAAAGAAGAAGTATTTTTGGCCCATATCCTAGAAATGTCTGGAACCTAGAGGCCAAACACCTGCATGCTGGCTTCCGCAATAAGCTTACCTACACGGAAAAAAGGATTTGTTGCATCAACAAATTATTTATGCTTGAGTTATTTTTGTTGGACTGAGCAATTTTTTGTTGAATCAACCAGATACATGATTATTACATGGAAGCAGCTTGTTCAAATCAAGAATGTAGTATAATCGAATCAACAGTATAATATCAATTCCATCAACAAAATATATGGTTTCTTCAAAAACAAATTGTGTCGATTCAAACTGATGTCGATGTTGATTCAACCATAAACATTTCGTTGATTTGATCAAACAATGATCATTTTGATGAGAATATATCTTTGAAACAACATACAAGTTTTCTTATTCCGATGTATCAATGAACTCGTTTCGAACGGATGATTTGCTTGAATAGAGCAACGAAATATGTAATATCAATGAAATATTGTGTTCATTCTACATCAACTTGAATTTTCGCCTCTAGATGGCGATCATTTCGCCTCGTCTATGACTGCCTCGAGTTCATTATATACGTGAAGCCTGATTTTTCGTGTTTGAAATATCAGCTGGATAAATCGAACTTAGGATGAGTAGCAACTCGAAATAGTTTTTCCATCAGCTAAAGAGAAGAAAAGACTAAAGATCTATGCTAGAAGTCGACTTGTTTCCTTGTTTTGTTTATTCTATTGATGTGAAATTTCAGAAAAATCTCCGAATATTGAATTTGGTTCAACAAAACAATTTGTCGAATGGATATATAGTTTCTCTTGATTCAACAAGATATTTCATCATTGAATTAACCAAATATTTCATTGAATCAACCAAATATTTCATTGATTCAACCAAATATTTCTTTGAATCAACCAAATATTTCGTTGAATCAACTAAATATTTGATTGAATCAATATCTTGTTATTTTGAATCAAACAAAATGTTTGTTTGAGCCAATTCAATATCTCTTCATAAACAATTCATGGATGTGCTTGAATGAAGAAGATCCAGAGTTCATACAAAACATATTTACTTGATTCAAACTTAAAATTCGCTCTGGAACAAGATATAGATTTACTCATTTCAAGATTATATTTTGTCGTGCATATATGACAAATTTTGCTTGATTCAACAATTCCTTTTTTTCCGTGTACATAATGCTTCAAACGGTACACACAATAGATAGGTATATCACTACTTATTAGAAGCTAGAGAATATATCACTATTGTTAGTTTTTCCTATATTTGCAGAAATAATTGATTGAACAAATCAATCAATTTCTTACGCTTGTAGAAAAAATATTGTTCCTAACTCATGCGGAAAGTGTCTTTCCCGCACTCGACTGCTTGTCCTAACTCCGCTTCGCGTCGTTCGGGTCAACGGCATTCACGTGCGAGAAAGTATCACTTTCCGCACTTGTTAGGAAAATTACAATTTTGTGGTTGACCTACTATGGCGTTTTTTGTCTTTTTCTTTCTAAACTCATAGGAAGTGAAATCTCTACTATAGGAGACAGTCTGCAGTCGGAAAAGTATAAGGATTCGGCGTCTATCGAACCGGTGACGTGGAATTATGCTGTGTAATGCGAAGGGTGGTAGGCAGCAAACCGTAAAGAGACGTGTAGAGTCCCGAAGGGTGCATAGATTTGCCGGCTGTTTCACAAGAAAAGCGCGTTGCAGTCCTTCCACCCCTCATCCTTGACCTAAACCAAATATTAACACATCGATTTTTGCATTTTTTTTCGTCTCCACGCTGGCATGGGGCATTGAATATTCAATATTTACTTGATCGGGTTTTTGGTTCCACAGTCTCTCAGCAGGTTATTTCGGTATCATGAGGTTGTGTCTATAGAGCAATGACCTTGTAGCAAAACCATTTTTTCTACAAACGCTTAACAAAGTAGCCTCTGACCCTTTCAAATTCCAGTACAAAGTTGACGTTTTCGCAGAAATGCCATTCTTTGACAGCATTTGCGCTCGTGAGCGGAAATATTGAAAAAACGCTCGCACATCTCTGTAACCTATACTTATCTATTCTTGAAAACCACCAATTCTTTCATGATGGAAAATAGTGACAGTGAATCATCAAACACACCTCCTGATAATATAGCAGAAAGCGTAAGAGTTTGAATCTCTTATACCTGAGAAATCAAGGAAGAAATATGAATTAAAATATGATACATTCATAAATTGGTGCCACTCCGAGATGGTGCATATGTATTCAGAAAACGTTTTACTGGCTTATTTTGGTAAAAAATCAAAGACCTTGAAGTCATCAACTCATCGGTCTATATATTCGATGGTACGTATACATGCTTGAATGTTAAAGATAATATCGGAATCAATAAGTATCTGAAACTTATCGCATTTCTCAAGAAACAATATATTGGATATAAAGCGAGAAAAATCCAGAACATTCACCGCTGAATATACCAAACAAATTTCTACAAGAAGCTTCCGATGAAGCATATTTGTTGAAAACGATGAATTATACTTTATATTTAAACTCTTTGTTGTCATCAGAAAGACAGTGTATCTTTATATTATTGCATCAATGAGTAATGTTCAATTTGATTACACAGTTTATCATACTATGGCTCAGAGGTCTGAAGCTCAGGTTACCACGCTGGTGGTCCAGTTTCAATTCTCGGTAGGCCCGACATTTTTTTTCTGGCTTGTCAGTTATTTCAATTTTTCTTTTTTTGTTTCCTTTGGACATATGGGATAATATGGATAAGAACTTCTTCAACTATTTCAATCGCTCATACTATCAGAGTAGTTATTTCCGAAAGCTGCGTTAGTAGAAAAAATCTTGTGTGTATTTCGAGCACAACGTGTTATTGCCGCTCTCCAAAGATTACCGCGCTCCGATCCGCATCGCCCGGTAACTTTCTTTGTCGAGCGGCAATCTATCACTTTGCGCTCTAAATACACAAATATCTATTTCCTGTCCATCATGGAAATTCACCTAATTCATATACGACCTAAATGTATTTCCGGATATCTGTGTTTCGTATTTTGGAGTCACCACGTTTAGAAGTTTTTATATACACTGTGTTTTTGTTATAGAAGCGGTAAACGCCAACATGCCCAAGGCTGTTGTTTATTTCTAGCACCTAGTGAACATTACAGGGTATTCCTTTTCGTGGAAACCAGAACATAAAAAAGGTATCTCGCGCACCTTGTCTATTGCAAGATCAAACCACTGGAATTGTTAAAAAAGTAGATTCTGTAGCAACATGACATGGTGATGACAACCTCTCCTACACGCTTTGATCGCCAGAAAACTTCTCAATCGGTTTCCGGCTTTGAAATTTTCTTGCTCGTCAAAACGAGATTTTTTTGTATTACTTGATGTCATAATTGTTGTATGAGGGCCACCCTGTATATAAGAATAGGTTGATCATGCATCATTTCAAGATTTTTGACCACCGTTCGAACCAGATTGTCAGGAACACAAAGCCAATAGAAATTAGAGCATCAAATTTTTTTTGCACTGTCGATAACTCATATGGAGCAATATGTTTTTGACCCAAAATATTTTTTTTGGAAAAATGCATAGCTTTGATTATCATCCTGTAGAATCTCATCCGGACAAGATGAAATAGTCATATCCATAGGTTCGATAGTCAATGAAACGAGCTTTCAGAAACTGAAAAATAATTGAAAATCGGTTGAAGAAATCGAAAGTTATGATGATTCAAATTTGATCAAAAAAATGCGATTTTACGTTTCATGTGTTGAGCAGTTTATAAATAGTTTCAATCGATGTTTAGGCAACACTAGAGTTAGATGACTCGGTTTAGGTAACCTAACGTTCGGGTTAGGAATCCTATCATTAGTTTCCAAAAACGCATATTGGCCTATTTTGTCACATTTATTGACCGCAGTGCATGTATCAAATCGTTAGCACCGATACAACAAGGCCAGCAGACTCTGACGTAAACAGCTCGTGACGTCACCAAGACAGGCCAGTGTTT